GCTGCTAAAATAAAATAAAAATAAAAATGAGTAAGTAAAGGAGAAAGGATTTGACCACAGACAGCTACTATGGGGATAGAGAAGATCTGGGTTCACATTCAAAAGAATGTAGTAAAGTTAAAAAAGCTACTCATTTCTAACTGAAAGAGAAATGTCAAATATTCAAAAGCCCAAAGAGTTCTTGAAAGAACTTTAAAAAAAAAAGGGCAATCCAAGAAAAATCAAGAAAATTATGTGAAGTCAGCTAATTGGAAAAAGATGAAAAAACCTAAAGGAAGAAAATAACTCCTTGAAAACTATAACTGAGCAAGGAGAAGCTAGTAAGACAAAAAGAATGGAAAAATAGGATAATGTGAAACATCTTATTACAAAAACAACTGATCTGGAGAACAGACTGAGGAAAGACAATTTAAGAATTGCTGGACTACCTGAAAGTTATGACAAACAAAAAGTCTTGATACAATATTACAAGGAATTATTAAGGAATATTGCCCTGAAGTTTTAGAACAATGTATAAAGTAGAAATAGAAAAAATCCATCCACCACCACCTGAAAGAGATCCCAGGATGAAAACCTACAGCCATCATCATAAGCCAAATTTGAAAGCTCCCAGGTTAAGTAGGAAATATGAGCAATGAGAAAAAAAATCAATAAATAAATAACATGGAACTACAATCAAGATCACACAAGACTTAGCAGCTTCTATGTTAAAAGACCGTAGGTATTGGAACACAATATTTTGAAGAGCAAAAGAGCTGGGTTTGTGACCAAAAATAACCTACCCAGGAAAACTGAATATAACCCTGAATGAAAAAATTAAAAAGGGGAATATTCAATGAACTGAAAGACTTTCAAATGTCTGTGACAAAAAGAAAAATGTAAGATTCAAGAGAAATATAAGGTAACATTAAAAACCAACTGTAAAGGACTTAAGGCTAAACTGTTTATTTCTTATATGTAAAAATTATCAGTACACTTAAGACTGTCATTACTTGGGTAGTTTGAAAGAGGTCTGGGCTGAGCTGAGCGAAATAGGTTGATTCTAAAAAATAAAACTAGGTAGGGAGAGGCAAAAAGGAGCAATTCTCTCATACAAATGAGGGGTGAAAAGAACTGATATAGAAGAAGAAAGTGGGGGTGGAGGGCTGGTTGTGCTGGAACCTTACTCTCATCAGAACTGGGTTAAAGAAAGGACAATACAAACCCCTAGAAGGGGTTTATAAGTTGTAAATTTATAAAGAAATAAGAGGGAGAGAGGACAGGACCAGGGAGGGACTTTCTAAAAGTGCATAAAAGGTATATACTGTGTGACTCTGGGCAAATAACTTAACCCCAATTGCCTCACCAAAAAAGAGACAGAGAGAGAGAGAGAGAGAGAGAGAGAGAGAGAGAGAGAGAGAAAGGAAAGAAAAAAAGAAAGGTGTATATAGATTAAGAATTAAGAGGGTCGGGAAAGAGGATAAGGGAGGGACTCTTAGAGGGGAAGGTAGATTAAGGAATAGGAGGGTAAGGTAGTGGTTACAAGTAAATTAGACTTGTTAGGAGGGATAGGGTAAACAGAGCCGGAAGGATAAATGCTGAGAAAAAAAAAGGATGAAAGGAAATGCACAACTAATAATTAAAACTTTGAATGTGAAGGCCCAACATATTTCCCTTCGAATAATCCTGCACTTTATTACTGATTCCCCTCCCCGCCTAAAACACAGCACTTATCATGTCATTCCCCTGCTTACACTGGCATTTGGTCATCCACACTTTTGATTTACTTTTCTAGCTTTATCTTATATCTTCTCCAAACCCTCTATAATCCAGCTAAATTGAAGTAAATCTGCCCCAGAGATCTTCTGCTTCTATGTCTTTGACCAATTTCTTATGGCAAGAATAATTATAATAGTATTATATAACATGTAAAAGCATTAGTATTCTAAGATTTTTAAAGTATTTTATAAAGTGACTTGCCCAGAAATCAAAACAACACTGAGGTTTAACCTTACACCCTGCAAATCGGCAAAAATGACCTCCCCCCCCCAAAATGGAACCAATGCTAGAGAAGTTGTGGAATATTAGCATATTAATGATGCTGCTCGTCCTTCATTTTCAAAGAGGACCAATGATATCACAATGTGATGGCTGATGACTTGTGAGTGAATTGGATTTAAGTGAGACAAAGCCTCACAAAGTAGTCCGCCTTACTATCTCTTCCAGGATCATCGAAGTCCAATGGCAGGACAAAAGTCAAGAAGATTGGTGATAACCTGGCAAGCAGTGGATGAACTTGGCATTTTCTATATCTGAGCAAGCCCTAAACACTCCACAGCATCTGTTTCAGCCACCTTCACGGCCACTGGAACAAATATTTTTACCCATCCATTCTGCTGGGGGGAAGTCTTCATATGCTTAGAGTAGATATCCCTCAACTCACTAACAGGTCTGAAGTACCCTCAACCTGGTCTAGTCCATCTGCCCAGATGGTTTTACCATGGTGTGGCCACGATGCATGCTACAGCTTCTTACAGCAACAGGTTAGAGTTGGATCACAAATGGACATCAAAGGTAGATAAGCCAGGCTGTTCAGCACAGCTATATTGTAGATGGAGCTATGGAAATGGTATGACCATTTTGGAAAGCAATTTGAAGTTATGCAAATAAAATGACTAAAATGTCCAAATCCTTTGAACCTGAGACTCCAATACTGGGCTTATACTCCATGGAAGCCACTGATAAGGAGAAAGCCCCCACATACTCCAAACTATTTAAGGTGATACTTTTTTATGATCGGTAAGAACAGGAAACAAAGTAGATGCCCATGAATTGAGGAATAGATAAACAAACTGCGGTACAGAAATGTAACAAACTGTAAGAAATGTTTTGTATGATGAATACAGAAGCAAGAAAGATGCACTCAAAGCGACGCTGAGCAAAGAAACAGAACCAAGAAAACAAGCACAGTAACTACAACAATGTAAATGGAAAGAACATACCAAAAATAAAAAGTAAATGCAACAAAAGTATAAAGATCAGGCTGGACTCGAATGGAGAGATGAGACAACACTTTCTGTGAAGAGGGTTCACAGGTGTTACACATTGCACATTTTCAGATGTTTTTAATGTATTGATCAGTTGTGCTGATTCTTCCCTTTCAAAAAAAACCAGACTGTTTGTCATATGAGATGGCTCTCTGGAAGAGGTAGGGGGAGAGATGCTTAAAGAATAAAATAAATATAAAGAACAAAAACAAAAACTTATTTTAAAAAATGACTTGCCCACAGTCACATAGCTAGTAAGTGTCTGAGGCTGTATTTGAACTCAGGTCTTCCTGATTCCAGATCCAATGAGTTTCTGAAACACAATAACTATACTTCCACTGAAGTAATTTTTTCATCAGTACAATCTTGCCAAGTCAATTACCAATATTTGTAAAGAGTGTATGAAAACAATCTGTGAAGAGTCAATGAAATACTTCAAGTATTGTAGTCATGAGAAAAGCTCACATATGGGAGAGTCTTGTCTTATACCTTTGGAATCCCTTTTCATGTTGAGCAAAGTCTCTCATACATAACAGGTGCTCAATAAATATTTTTAACAGATTAAGAAATCAGAAAAACTTATCAGTCAAGTAAATGGAGCTACTGGCACTCTACCAGACAGTTTAGTACTGACAACGCATTACGGTTTTTTTGTCTACATAAAGATGAAAATAAAAACAGCAGCTCCATATATTCCATTTAATAGTCCCAAGAGCTACTACTCATATCATACACAGATTCTAGATCAGGTCTAGGGAACCTGTGGCCCTCTAGGTCCTCAAGTATGACCCTCTGACTGAATCCAAACTTAACAGAACAAATCCCCTTACTAAAAGGATCTGTTCTATAAAACTAGGACTCAGTCAGAAGGCTCCACCCAAGGACCTAGAAGGCCACAGGTTCCCCACCTCTGTCTAGACAACTTTTTCTATGAAGTGTATAATGTAAGGTTTGTATCAAATGACTCGAGTAACAACTGTATGGTATGCTTCTCAAAACTCCCACAGTGAAAATGAAGGGGCTGGATTAAATCTCTAAGATACTTTGCAGTTTAATAACACTATGAAAATAAACAATTCAAATGTTAACTCTAATAGACCTGTCCTCCTTTAGTAGGTGACAAGTCCAAAAATCAAGCACAAAAACAGTCAATTATATTTTAAAGATAAATGTAATTATACAAGACTTTTTGCAATTACTAAATCCAAAGCAATGATACCAATGCCACGCTGTTAAAAAATAGAGGAAAAAATGCTGAGCTAAAATGAGGTTTTGTTCCATCTAAGGTATAAAGCACAAATCAGGATGCAGGGTGACCAATGTAATCATAAGTAGTTGCAAGTGTCATTAACTAATAGTCAAGTCAGATGTGTGCCCAGAATACAACTGACAGTGTGAGACAGGATGTGGCCCCTTCACAAAAAGTCAGGTTTACCAGGATATAGCAGATATCAGGATTGTACTAAGTAAGTGCTTTGGCTGGTGCCTTACACTGTAACAAAATACAAGAAATGATAAGAAATTTAAGCTGTGGCAACTGCTTTTTGACATTTATTGCCATTTCTGGAGATAAACAATCAAAAGTTGACTATTTACCAAATTGTTCCAGCTACAAATCTTATAAAAGTTCATTCTGGAATACCAAAAGGGAAGTAAGTTGTTTACTGAAAGTAAACTTTGTTCACCAAATAGATGGTTATGCCTTAATTACAACAGAATACTGATTCAATGAGTCATAGATCATAAAATTAAAGCTCTAAAGGACCTTAGAGATTATCTAGTCCAGACCCCTAATTTTAAAAATGACATAACTGAGGAAGGTTATAGAAGCTCTAAGATGCAGTTACTTTGTTGCCTGGGATGCTCACATTTTATACTGGACACTAGGATGCTCCCCAGGATAGATTCCAATGTTTACTTATGAAGGTGTAAGTTACTAACTGGAGAGGAGAACATTCTGTAACTTCAACTAACCTTTTCATTTTTCTTTTCTGCATCTAGCTGCTGCTGCTGCTGCTGCTGTTGCTGCTGCTTTGCTGCTTCTCTTCGAGGAGGTGTGATCACTTCCTCCTCTGGCACTTCAAGCACAGTCCGTCCATTTGGCTGCAAATACAATGAAAAAAAGTTTATAAAGTTATAAAATGGCTAAGATAAGTTATATTAAGGCATAAAATACAGCAAGTGGTACAAATTATAACAGAATGTTAAAAAGTTTTATGTACCAAACTTACATAGGAACAGGTGCCCACCAAGTTTTATTTATAACGGTACAAATATTCCAAAATAAATTAGTGTAGGATTAAAAAAAGGATCATAGGTTTAGAACTGGAAGGCACTTCAGAGATAATCTAGTCCAATCCCATAGTTTAAAGATGATGAAACTAGATTTTTACAAATGAGGAAAGTGAGGTAAACAGGGTTAAGTGACTTGCCCAGGGTCACACAGCTAGTTAAGTGTCTGAGGCCAGATTTGAATTCAGAAAGAGGAGTCTTCCTTACTCCAGGCCCAGCACTCTATCTACTGTGCCATCTAGCTGCACTACTTGCTGATTCTACTGCCAACTAGCAGAATCAATCAACAATGCATTAAATATCTACTAGGTACTTATTATGTGTCAGACACCAAGCTAAGGGGTTAGAACACAAAGACAAAAATTAGACAGTCTCTACTCTCAAGGAGCTAAAATTCTAATGGAGGAGACAACACATAAAAATAGTTGGAAAGGTCCCACAGTCACTGGGGTGCAGAACCCAAAGCAGATGCCTCTTCTTTAACGTAACGTCAGTTTCTGATGTTGACCCATTTCATAATACCAAGGGCCTTAGTGGCAAGAACTTTCTGATTTGGAGCTTTAGTAGCTGTGGCTGTAGCACTTGCAGAAGCAGTTGCTAAGCTGCAGCTTACAGGGGGCTGCTTCCCAGATGATGTGATGGCTGAACACATGGGCTGGAAGCATCGCTATACCCAAGGCTCTTGAGTTCAGGATCCTGGGCTGACTCCATCATGGTCTGAAGGGAGATGGTAGTGGTTTGATTTGTCTGGCACATGCTACCTCCTTTCTCTCCTTCAAGGCGCCTCAATGTTTCTGTCCAGTCTGACTTGCCTGCTCTCTGGCTGGGAGCTGGTAGAAACAGTCAGGACGGCTGGGCGGGAAGCAGGACCGATGGTCTCAGGGATGTTGCTTGTTAGTAGCTGGTTAACAGCTGTTATTTGGCGGTGATAAAGATGGGCTTCTTCATAATGACCTCTCTTCTCAACGACAGATGCGGGGGCTGTACTGGAAGCAGATCTGATAGTTTGGAGAACAGTGCTATTCTCCAGCTTATTGGATTCACTGTCCTAGACTGTCCACGTGAGGGGAGAGGGTGGTCAACATGACAGTGGCAGCCTGACTTGCCTGGTATACGAAACCTCCAACTTCTCCCCTAGACTGTGCTGCTGCTTCAGCTAGACTGGCTTGCCCTTTCTGAGGGTAGCTGTTGGTGTGATAATGAACATCAATGTGAAAATGTTTAATAAAATATCAGCAACAAGGCTGTGGTCTCTTAAGAACTACAAAGGCTATATTTTAGAAATTACACATTATATAGTATTTTGACCAGAAAAATAGGATTGGTGCAATGAGGTAAGATAACAATCACATGCATAAGAAAAACAAGGGAAAAAATATTGACTGTAACAATGCATAAAGCTTGACAAAATACAACCCCCCCCCAAAAAAAAACAGGGGCAGCTAGGTGGTACAGTGGATAGGGCACTGGCCCTGGATTCAGGAGGACCTGAGTTCAAACCCAGCCTCAGACACATAACACTAGCTTGTGACCCTGGTAAAGTTACTTAACCCCACCGCCTAGTCAAAAAAACAAACAAAATACAACCCCATTTTATGTTTTAAAAAAAAAGTAGAAAACAGAAATAAATGGATTTTCCCCTAATATAGTGAACAGTATCTATAGAAAACCAAGAGCAGGCATATTCTGTAAACAGATAAACATCAGAGGCCTTTCTAATAAGATCAGGGGGTAAACAAGAATATCTGTCCACTGTTGCCTTGATGATACAGAAATACTTGCCATGGCAAAAAGATAAGATAAAAGACAATAAGCATAGGAAAAGAAAATACACAAAATCATCACATTTTGCAAATGTTGGTTTACTTAGAAGACATTTGAGATTCAATTCAAAATAGAAATAATTCACTTCAATAAAATAGCAGGATATAAAATAATGCCACAAAAATCAAAAGCCTTTCTGAACATTGACAATAAAACCTAAAAGAAAGAAATTTCATTCAAAATAACTACAGAATATATAAACTATCTGGCAATCGAATTACTAAGCTACAAAAAGAACTATGAATATATACTACTATAGTCTTTTACAGAAATAAATGGACCATGCTAACATAATAGAATACTACCAAAATTAATTTATAGATTCAGTGTAATGTTATACTACCAAAGGATTGCTTTCTAAAATTAGAAAATTTATGACAAAATACATGTAGATCAGGAGTTCTTAACCTTTATTGTATCACTAAATGCACATGACTGGCTGATCATTATTTTTAAATTAATAAAATCCAAAAGATTACAAAGGAAACCAATGATACCGAAATAAAAGACTGTTAAAAAACAAGCTCATGAAATCAGGTTAAGAACCTCTGATAAAGACAAAAGAGAGGGAAAGGACCAGGATATACAAAAATATTTATAAAGCACTTTTTTTTGGAGTAAAGACCTAGAAACAGTGAGTACTCCTCAATTGGGGAAATTTTTAACAAATTATGGTATTATGAATATAAGAATATTAATTTCCTTGATGAGCAGGTTAACTTTACAAAAACCTGGAAAGACTTTTACGATCTGATGCTGAGCGAAGTGAGCAGAAACCAGGCGAACGTTGTTCACAGTACCTCTCACGTTATTCAATGACTAACTTTGATAGACTTAACCCTTCTCAGCAATACAAGGACCTAAGACATCTCCAAAGGCCTCAAGATGGAGAATGCTATCTACATCCAATGAAAGAACTATGGAGTTTGAAAGAGATCAAAACCTATTATTTGCTACTTTTTCTTCTATTTTGTTTTGTTTCCTCTTTCTGGTGGTACCTCCTATTGGCTCTAATTCTTACTTACAACATCACTAATGTGAAAATATGTTTAATAGGAATGTATACGTAAAGCCTATATCAGATTGCGTGCCGTCTTGGGGAGGGAGGTGAGGAAGGAGAGAAAAATTTAAAACTCAAAAACTTGTGCAAGTTATTGTTGATAAAGCAAAATAAAATAATAAAAAAGTGAAAAAAATAATTTTCAAATAAGAAAAAGAATATTAATTTCTTGCATTGTAAGACATAAGAAAGTTAGTGGATTCAAAGAAACTCGGGAAGACCTGGCTAAACCAATTCAGTGTGAAGTAGAACAAGGAGAATTATCTTATACAAAACCTCAATATTATAAAGGAAAACAATTTCAAAAGATTTAAATCTCTCTGATAAATGCAGGAACAATAATGACTCCAGAAGACTGATGAAGCATTCCTCCTACACTTTGTTGGAAAAGTGAGGGATGCAGATACACAATGCATTCCCAGACATGACCATTAGAACACGAATCTGTTTTGCTTAACTATACTTTTGTTATAAAATAGGTTTTTACTTAGGGAAGGAGGTAATTGGATAGTACCGGCAACAATTAAAGAAAAAAAAAGAAGAAAAGAGCCTCCAATGACGTGTTTTATATAAAATACACAAAGGAGCCCAAAGTGAGGTCAAGAAGGGGACAAAGAGCTGGAAGAGACCTTACTTCTCAAGTCCAACCTCTTTAACAGATGAGGAAAGGAAGGCATCTGTTAAGTGTTAAGTATCACAGAGCTAAAAACTGCCCAGGTCAAAATTTGAATCCAGGTCTTTCTGACTTTAAGGTTAGCACTGTATCTACACTACACCATGTCCCCCTCCACAAGCAGGGCAATCTGAGCATCAAATTTAATGTTATTAAAAGGAACAAATTATGAGATTTGTGTTTTCACATAATTCTTATTTTCTGGCCTTCCATATATATATGGAAATACTCATTTTTGTTGATGCTTTTCTAGTTCATAAATTTTTTTAATTCCCACAATAAAAATCTATATATTTAATAGCTGCAAACTACAGGACTTCACCTGCAGTGGTAAAAACTATTAGGAAAGATAGGTGGGAAAATAAGAATTGGTGCTGTAAAATTCAATTTGCCAACTCTCCAAAGATTATGCCATTCAGAGAGGGCCTCCTCTCCCTCTCAAAAGCTGCAACTGACTATCAGGTTAAGTACAATTTTAAAACAGCTTGAGAATTTCAGAAAAACATCTTCCAGATTCATCTAATACCCCCAGAATGCTAACTTTCTCCACACATATTCCCTCCAAACTCTCCAACACCTTGACTTTTGAAAAATTCATACATACAATTTGATAAGATCAAATTAGTAGCCAATGAGGACATATGCAAACATTAAAAAGTCACTAATAGCAAGGAATTTTATTTATATTATCGCTCATGGGGTTTTTTATATATATATATATATATATATATGCATACACACACACACACACACACATATATACACATATAAAAAATAAAATCACTCATACCTATACCTCACAGGTAATTATGAACTTGCCTAATTTTTCAATGCAGGATTTATCTATAATAAAGGTAACAAGTCATAAGAACAAAACCGTTAATTTCTTAAATATAAAAATGTGTAAATTTTATGTATTACTTAATTGAATACTTGTTACTTAAGGACTTCAGAGATCTCTAATTATGCCAATGAATAGACCCCTCCACCAACAGAGATTGCAGCCTCTACAAGTTCTGGCTATTTCTTTGTAACATTTTGTTCTGGTGAGTAGTACCTAAGTAGACTTTTCTGTTGATATTGGGGGGGGGGGCAAGGAGAAGGAAGTAAAACAGGGGGCTGATGGGTGAGAGTGCTGCCCAGTAGCAGAACCAGAAGAGCTGTGAAGTGCTGAAGGACAGTTCAGTGTTTTCTTCCTCCTGGACTTCACTCTGGGCGCTACTGTTATAGGGAATGACTACTGCAGCAAACACT